TCTTAGTTTCAAAGCCAACTTTTAGTAAGGTGATTATAGTAGCACATTTTTCATAATGATTTTTAATTGACATTAGATTAATACCCCACGATCATCTTATTTACCATGAATAATATGTACCAAAGATTGGTGCCTCACTAACAAAAAGACTTCTGAAGTAGTTTGCTTGAATTAACAAACATGTCACTTAGGCAAGAAAATCCTCTGTTGCAAATGAATTAGGACCAGCAAGAAAGAGCCTTGAGACAATTTCAAACCGCAAAGTCATGTGGTGGGTTGATTTAATATTTATCTTAAAAACATTTTTTTTTGTTATACTTTTTCTTAAAATCTGGATTTTTTCATGTCTTTTCTAGTTTTAACAAAACATAAAGTTAGTTGTGCTAGGACCTAACATCTACAAAACAAAACTCAAATTTCCTAAATTAAGTCTTAAAATTTTCTATCATTACATTAAATGATGTTGTCTCTTATTCCATTTACCTTGACTTGTACATCTGATCTTTCACCAATTCCAACAATGCTACATATGGCATTATTTTGAAACCCTAATTCTATTTAAATTGTGTTCTCTCAACGTCAGCTTTGGCTATAAATTTAAGTTTTTATCTTGATTATTATGCTAATCAACAATATCAAACTGATTTTTCACAATCACTTAGAAAGAAACATAATCTACACACTCTTTAGCAATATGGTTATTCTCATGCCTACTAAACCAAGAATTTCTAAAGACTCTATTGGAATTGCAAATTTTGCAAGAAGTATTCTTAAGGATTTTGGGTTTTTTTAATCTTTCCAAAGTCACCCGTATTAGAAACAAGCAAAAATTTACTTGGCCTCCATTTAAGACTCAGTTGCTGATAACAAAGCATTTAAAGTTTTCAGATAGTGCCTTTAATTCAATTATTTATCATCACTATTTGGATAATTTTGATGTTTTAGATAACCATCTGGTCTGATATATATATAACTTTGAAATTTTAATTATGTCAATGATAGTTTGAAGTTTTATCATGTGGTGATTTCTAAATAAGGGTTGATGCAAACAATAATTTACTCTCAATATGGTACATATTACATGCCCTTCAAAGAAAACAACAAATAAACCAAGTTTGAATTTTCCACATTCACTTATTGATATCTGTGTGTATCAATCTATCTACCATGTTCTTGAAACAAATTGTGGACAAATTGGTGCATTTGCATTTAGGGTTTAGCAGACCTTGACTTTGATCTTTGTTGGGTTATGAGCCAATTGCATATTGGGTACATTACATGCATCCCAATAATACAGTATTTTTATTTTTATTTTTGGCACCAATCCCTAATTTCTATCAAAGTTTAATCATTATCAAGGCAATCAAATTCAAACAATTTATTCATACATTGACAAAGACCAATTTGATGCTATTCCTTTGAACCAATTGAGTAAAATGCAGACCTACATCCTTGACCCAAATGATGGAAGCTTTAATGGAACTTTATTCAGTGCCTTAATGTATCTACAGCCAAACTCAAACTAACCTCCTTGTGAAAATATAAGAATTGGGGACTAGAATTTAAACAGGCTTCTTCAAGTAACTGCAAAAGTGTATAGAATGGTTCATAGCCATTTCTCAAGATCTCTTTAATCAATAAATTTTAATATAAAATCTTATCAACTTAAAGTATCACAAAATCCCACAGTTTCTGTTTTTTGGGGGCATGATCTTAAATAAAAAAGAATGAAGAAAACGAAGAATGGTATTTGAACTTGGTTACAATTGCTTGTAAAAGATACAAAAGAATTAAAAATTTAATAAAAGGAATGCATGTATTACATTACACAATGTAGTTTACTACTAGTGTTATTATTGGTCATTTGGGGATGAAGTGTGAACATTTTACATGCTTCTTTTGAAATTTTATCACAAGGAACATGCAACATGCAACATGAATTTACCTTTTTCAGATAATAATAATGAAGTTGTAGAGAATGACCTTAGTGGAGCACCAAACTCAATACAACTTTTAGAGTAGATGACAACAAGCTACATTGGAGGCATAAATATGAAAGAATATCATTTTTATTTGCAAGTGGAATTTAACAATGGTCCAAAAATATTAACATGAATAAATTTAAGATTGTAGCAACTATAGCATTTGTGTGTGTGTATATATATATATATATATATATATATATATAATATTATATTTTAAATAAAGTTATTAATTTATCTATTTGATCAATATGTGAAACAAGGCAAGATAATGTATCTTCTATGCTAAGGTTATGGAGAAATTTATGTCTTCATGTATATCCATCTATTCATAGTTTTGGTATTTAATCCCGGTCCCTTGTAATTCCTGTTAAAGTAAACTGCCTCTTTTTCTATTTGTCTTGCTAGCCCTCCATTTTTCTCCTTTTCTTCTTTCCTTTATGTCACGTTTTCAAATTTATTTTAACATTTATTTGATTAAGTAAAAAAATCAAATCGAAATATCTTTGGACAAGCAGAATTCGGTTAAGATTATTATTTGGAACTTTGAATGTTGATGTTTATTGAAAAAATCAAGTATATATATATATATATATATATATATATATATAACAGAATATAATATCATTCTTTGAACTCTGTTTGAACTCTGTTATATCTAGATTTTACGGGATAAACTTACATTAATATTGAGGATTTTTATGTTTTGAAAACATATTTATAACAAATTTTAAAAAAATATGTATATATAAACTTTTTAATTTGAAACTCTGTATAATATATGTTTCTTTTGTAAAATGATTAAAAAATTAAATTTCAATTTAATAAAAGTTTTAGCATTGTCTATATATATATATATATATATACACTAAAAATTAAGTAATTAATTAATAATAATTTATTATACCAAAATTGTATGTTTTTATAAAATCAAGTAAAAAATTTAAATAAATTAAAAAAATTTAATTAAATAAATAAATTAGTGTCAACTGTATATGTTTTAGAAATAGAATTATAAAGTGAAATGATTTTCTATGTCATATAATCTTTTATTAAATTTTGTAATAATATCTAAGTGACATTATCTAATCAAATTAATGTATTTAAAAAAAATCAAGTAGTATTTATTGCCATCTTCTAAATCATTTGATATCTAAAATTATAAATAAATATTCTTGTTGTTATATATTTGACTTATTAAACTAAACTTCTTTCATAAAATCTAAAGGTTATGTATATTATACATACATACATACATTCTTTGTTGCAACTGGTAATTCAATCTCTATAATTTTTAAAAAAATTATCATCATGCAAACATTGTTCTATCCTTATTTATTTATTTATTTATAATTTGGTTAAAGTTTGGAAGATTATTCAAATAGATTTGTTTTTTTGTTTTGTATTTTTGAATTTACTACAGTTAGTAGTGAATTTTTAAGTTGGTGGAATAAAACCACTTTGAGAAGGATTTTTTAAAACTCTAGTAAAGATCATATTCTTAATTTAAATGAATTGACACCTAAAAATATATGTGATTATTATTACTAGTTAAAAAGAAGTTTATGTTTATTGAATAGTGATGAAATAAGAGCATAAATCACAAAAAAAAAATTAGCAAACCTTTATTATATTTCAATTCTAAAAATTGATCTAATCTCAAATAACATTTCCCATGATTCATTTTTTTTTGGAATAATCTTAGCAGGAAAAAACTATTTTTAAATCTCTTAATAAAATTGTTAGAGTTGTACCAATGGTCTTTTAAACAAAAACATCTATGTCAAAAATTGCATATGGAAAAAACATAAATATTTGAGATCATTAACATCAATATAAAAATCATTAATGAATATAATTTCCTTTTATGTTGTGTACACAAAGACATAGGTACATATGTTTGATTGATTGATTAATTGATTGATTTGTTATTAAAAAAAATCTCCTCATTATTATTGACATGTTACCTTAAAAGTAATTTACAATTAGTACAATTAGTATTGTAGCACAATCAATTAGTTTCATCTTTTTCTTGTTTTCGTAAATATTTTTATTGCATATTAAAATCTCTCTCTCTCTCTCTCTCTCTCTCTCTCTCTATATATATATATATATATAATTTCTTTCAGAAAATTAATAAGAATCTCATGTTTATATATCTTTTGTATTATTAATTATTTTAAAATCCCAGATTTTTTTCTTTACATCATTCTAATAGCATTTCTAAAAATAATAGCATATAAACATCAAAAACTATTTATGCCATTTTAGATTCCATTGTAACATGTGAGGATGAAGAAATGCTTCCATCCGTAAACCCGCAAGCCTACAGAGCAATGAATGTGACCACGGATGGATGGCGTCGAGATTTCATCCATCGCGGGGTCGAACCCCAGCGCCGCCTATCGAAATCAGTCCTCCTCCTCTTCCTGGCCCGAATCTCACACCGCTTTCAGTTGCAATCCTCGCCAATTTCTTCCCGCCCTGGCGCTGACATCATCATCAACTCCTCCCTCCTGGACGTGGTGTGAAGAAGGTTTGGGGCCCTTCCTTCCATCACCACCACCTGCTTAGGGTTTATCATATTTGGTTATTTTGTTCCAATTTGATCAGTGGACGACGCGGTCATGTTCGTGGTTCGTTCCGGAATTGCGTCGTGAAAGGGGAGGGGGGGGAGTATTGCAATCGGATTATTGCATGTGTGGTGCGGATTGAGGTGGCGATGGTATTGTAGAGACTGACCGTCTTGAAGAAGAAATAAAATAAAATAAACAGCAGGTATAATTTTCATTAATTATCGAGTTTTTAACCGCTTATGCCGGTTGTAGAATCGACGACATGATCTTTTTTCGGAGCTTACAGGATTGGGAGATCAGTGGTGGGAAGAGTTCGCAGCGTTTGTCGATTGCAGGGGTGTGGTGTTAGGGTTTTGATGATGGTTTGTTTGCTGGTTGCTTTCTGGTGCGAAGCGAGTTTTGGAGCAAGAGACGGTTGAATTTTCTCAGGTTTTACTACGTAGGATGCAAATGAGCTCTAGTAGCACTTCAATATCGGGTGGCGTTATAACCTGCGTTCATTATGAAAGGACATTTTCATGCGGACATTTGAATGTGGATAAGATTCTAGAATGTAGTTTTCTGTCAGAATGTCGAGACAGTGGTGAGCATTGTTATCTGTCTGTATTGGTGAGTATTGGAACTGATATCTCATGTATTTTCCGCGAGCAACAAGGAATCATGCGATGGCTAGCATTCTATTGCTCACAGATGATTGAGACGACTGAAGTACGTGTGGAAAAACGTAGTTGTCGCATTTACATCATCACTTACGTGTGAGATTTGAAGATATCGTAATTGTATTCCAATTAACATGTTAATACAATCGGAAAGTTAGGCAATGTCAGATTCATCCTTTGTGTGTGAACGCAGGTAGTATTTCTCATGGATGGTGAATCATCAATGGGGCAGTCTTCGGCCTCCGAGGATAAAAAGCGGCTAAGAGACCAAAGTAACAATGGTGACGGGTTACTTGTGAATCGTGGAAAACCAGTGTCTGAGAAATGGAAACCTGTGTGGCTGTGGCTTCAATCACTGGGCCGTACCAGAATAGTTGACTCGGCGGAGGTTACTGCTTGGCTCGAAAGTAACCCTGCTTATGCCGCAGAGATGAGGCAGTATCACACTCATGGAGTTTTGGTACACTATGTTCAGAAATGTCATCAAAGATTGGTTTATGGTCGAAATTACAAAGGGGAGGGTAAGAAGGTACAAATATGCAATTCATGCTACGATTTGTGTTTTCTATGCAGCGGTGTAACACATCTTACACTTTTTTTCGTGCCATTGATTTAACGACAATACCGTGAATCGATTATTCAGTAACTTCCTTTCTAGGTGATCAACCAGCTGGTGTGTTCTCAATGGATTGAATTTTGCCGCTTGCACAGTTGTGGCACACTGTCTCTGAATAACTTGATTACATTGCTGTAATTTCGACTGGAACTTCTGTTATTGTTTGTCTATCTAAACAAGTTACCTGTCAGCTTACGAAGAAAGTCATTGGGATTCAGCCACCCTCTGCCAAGAAACTTCCTGAACGACGTTCAACCAACGATGTTCGGCTTCCAAATGGCCGATTCGGCTCAAAAACGAGTAAAGAAAGTCCAGAAGGGCAACATGGAGATCTTTACCAGCTTTTATGGAGCCATGAACTAGTCAAGAATCTTTTCCCACCTTCAAAGGCGGATAAACACGGTATAGGTGATGAAGCGTCCTCTTGCCTTGCCTTTCAACATGCTTGCTGTCTTTTGCTGTCATGCTATAGCTGGGACGTGCCAGCTATCAAAAAACTAGGTAGTTTCTTCTGTTCAGGCGGAATGTGATTCATGAGCCTCACCAACCAGGAAAGGGGTCGGATACAGTGGATTCACAGCAACATGTGAGTTTTTATGTTTCACGTCTCAAATATAACCTCTTGATGCAGATAAAGCAGACGAAACTAGTATTCTCGATTCTGAAACATGGAGAGATCAGTGGCGAATTCTTTTGGACGGCGAGAAAGGCGATGCCGAGGTGATAAGTTTTCTGATTGAGATAACATTGAAATAGTTTTACTGATGAAGAGGAAGAACTTATCTCAGGAACGCAATTAGAAATAGTCAAGCACTGAAGCTACGGGTTTTCTTTCTAAAGACACAGCTGAAAGATAGCCTTTGTTCTAAAATAGTTTTGGTATTTAGACGTTTAGAATTTTTACGATCCAACCTTGTCACGGCACATAGGGAAAGATCTTAATTGTGTTGTGATTGCGTGGTGATTTTCCAGGTAGATCTCAAGGCAGAGGATAAAGTTCACAAGCTCCGTGGGACTAGTCCTTACCCTAAACGGATTAAAAAACAAAGATTTTTTTACAGCCCAGGCATGAATCTTCTTTTGATTTGATACTGTGCAACCCTAAAGTAGATATATAGGCTTATGGTGGACCCCGCCTTGATCACGAATGAATTTGTACATTTTTGCATGTTATTCCCTTGAGAAAGGTGATCTAGTTGAATAGAGCTGACCGCAGTGTTTTTACAGACTAGGTACAGAGTTGGTAAAGTGCATTATTTTTGCAATAATACTTCTGCGTTTAGATACTTCACTAATTAAGTGTGCGGGTGGCTGCTCAGAACGCCCGGATAGAGCAGAGCCCTCCACCAAGGAAGCTAACACAAGCGCTGAGGCCTTGGACAAAGTTGACCCTCTAATTCAATACGAGTTGTAAGTGCTCTTATTCGTGCTGCTCAGCATTATTTTCTTATAAGTTCCAGATGACTTACAATTTGTTCCAGAACTTGAACAAAAGCATACTATTTTTTCCCTTATTCTCAACACTTTTAGATTTCTACCTATATTATTTTCCTGTTGTGGATTACCTTTTCAACCTAGTATTTGGAGGATTTTCAGATTGTCAGTTCTGCCCTAGATTGGTTTTGTTGGTAATGGTTATGTGTATCAGTGGAACAGAGAGATACATGTAAGAGGGAAGGAATCAAAACCGTTCTAACGAACAACGTGTATGATAATTTTGTGTAGGATTTTAAAACTAGAGATGCGATTGAAGGAGACATTATCAAGGTGCAAAGGGCAAGCTTATGATACTCATGGACCAAGTAAAGTGGAGAAGCCGAAGCAGGCGGGTGGTCGTACTCCTAGGAGTGATGATTCTGGGAGAAACAGCCGCGGAAGTTCAGACACTCATATAAATGCATGGGCTTTTTCTGAGGCTTCTATAGGTAACGTAGTATATCGAGAGTCGTCTTTTGTCTGGTCTTCTCTGCTACATTTGAAATGTTTAGGTGCTGATGACTTTCATTGGCAAATCGACGCAGCTTGTTAATTCTATGGTTGTTGAAAGAAGTTACTGAAACCGCTACTCAGAAATCAGATTATGTATAGGGTGCTTCAATGCATATGTTTGAGAAAAGGTAGTTGCTTAAAAAATACATGCTTTTGCAGTTAGGAAATTATTTTATCGCTTTGCGGATTTTGTAGAGAATGCAATGGTACTCGCAACCTTATATTTTGTATCGGTAGATCTGGTTGCAGGAACTGAGAATGTAGCACCTAGCGTTGTGCAATCTTTGGCAGAGCGTGAGCAGGGCGCTAACTCAGGAACTGTCGCATACCGACCCAATGAGGTTGGGACTCGAGGCAAAAGATGGATCAGTGTCCTAAACGGTAAGGGCCATTATCGTTTTATAATTTATAATTGGTAGATTCCACTATTTGTGACTACTTGGTCTGTGTAATTCTAAGCGAGTTCAACCTCGAAACAATACGCCTATCTTCTTACAAGGAATCAATCTGTCGTGTAAAACGCAAGACTGACGTGCCTTCACTATTTTGCGTCTTACGCTACCATCGTATTTCATGATGTAATTTTTCTGTCATGGCACCTTGTGTTGGTTTGATGCTGCAACTTGCACATGGTTTTCATAACTCATGTTTGAGTAATTTTTAATCTGCTTTGCATGGCTCTTCAGATTCTTAAGTTCCACATCTTGGTTATGTTATACAACCTTAAAGCTGCAATGCGAAAGTGTTTGTGTAGGTTGGGACTCACTTGAGAAGCAAAAATTAGGACCCTCAAATTGGTTGCAAAAGCGAGCATATTCCTCTTGGATGCCAATCTGGTGTGCCTATACTTCTAGCAGCGCTATAGCTCAACCATTAGGTAGCACACGAACGGATGTGAGTAACTGTGAAATTGTTGTCGCTGCCATCTTTGACATATGCACTTGATGCACTTGCTGCATTCCTTTGAGTTATTTGTCAGTGTTGTACTTGCATTCGTAAGAGGATGCTGATAGAAGATTGTTTTGTTTTGGTGGTTAGTTTCATCGCAGCGATTTAAATTTTTTGATTACTTTAGCATGTTTACTATCTTTCCTTCAATTCGTATTGGTAAATAGTGCTTTCGTAAGAAGATGCTTGCTTTTGGCTTCACTATTTCTGTTTGTATCAAGCAGGTCATTCTTGGACTTGATCCTCTGTACATTACGTAGCACAGTTGAATATAAACTATTATCTTCTTTCATGAAATCTGTAATTTGCTAATTCTTATACAGTGGAACTGGATGTTTTCAGCAAGGTATTCAGAAAGTTCTTGACGTTAGGTTTCATCCAGGCGGAGAGCCGCTTTTGGCTGTGAGCTGCAATGAGGTCTCTCAATCTCTCCATAATTGTTGTGTTCCACAGGAAAGCATAGCTAGAATCTCATGATTAGGACTTTGCTTTTAGGACACAGTTAAGCTGGTTGGAGGCTACTGCTATGTTTCACCGGCCATTTGATTTTCGAGCAATTTTGATGTATTTACACCTCTATGTTAGTGATGACAGCCTCCTCACGAGTTATTGCTATATAACCTTGAAAGTGGTCGGGGAAAAGAGTTGATTGGACACAATACCCAGGTATCTTTCCTAATCCTCTGTCATATCTTGACTTTTGATGTTGAACTCCTGACGTTTTGACTTTTGTGATTAAGTGTACGTGCTGCTATGCGAACACCTATACATTCCTCTTGCATCTCTAAGAGGTGAGGTTTGGCAACTGTTGTGCGTTTTTTTACCAGATTCAGGCAGTTGAGTTTGCTCTTCGAGGTGAAAGGGTTGTTTCGTGTGCGAGCAATATTGTCAAGGTATTGTTGGATTCCTAATCTGTCTATTCTTGACTTGCACTGAGTGCAGCATGGCCTATTCAGTAGTAAATCAATTACATCACTCGTTTTTCTACCCCGTGTAGAAGTTGAATGCATTAGACTTCTTATTATTGCAGGTTTGGAATTCAAGGTCTGGAATCTGTCTACACACCTTAGGACCTGAATCAGATGATGGAATTCCAGGACATACGAAGAAAATCAGTGCAATGACTGTCAACGAACTCCAACCTTGTAAGCATTTTCATGCAATGCTGTATATTGTAGAGATGAAATTTTCAGTGTTGTCATTGTCTGAAGTCGTGTGCAGGGATCCAGAAGCGTGTTCATTTAAGTTTTGTAAATGGAGTTTTTCTTTCTTGAATGAACCACTGGTTGCATTTTTAGGTCTTGCTGCAACAAGTGGGGGTGATGGAGATAACAAGCTACTGCTTTGGAATGTGTTAACTGGAGAACTGGCTTCCGATCTAAACGCCGCTTATAGGTTGGTGAACTTAATGGACCTGTTCAAATGTGCACTGTTGGCTGCTCCAGTGCTTGTTGCTAGAGTTCCTGACGGTGAAATGTCATTGGGTCAGTTCTTTCATGCAGTCAGTGTTCTATCTAGCTTATTGTTCAATGATTAGGGCCAATAACGTTAAGTGAGAAGGAGTATTACCGTAACATCTACATGATGTTAAATTTTGTCAACTGGTGACAGGCAGGAACAGACGGATCTCTTATCTATGGACGCCCTGAAATTTTGCAATGAAAAATATTTTATTTGTGGAAGCGATTCTCCGGGTGGTAAACCAGCAATTGTACAGATTTGGGATATTGATGCCCTGACTAATCTTGCTACCTTCCCTGCACATGATACCGTGAGTAAATGTTTTCGTTTCCAATTTTTATTGGTCGTGCATGTTTGGCGCACATTAGATATTGCTGTTAGTTCTTCTATTATAGTGAATTTAGTTAGTGTTCAGATTGTTCATATTGACGTCCTAAGAAAGATGATAATACAAGCTTCAGTGTCCTGATTTGAAGCCTGTGGTTGCAGTATATTACGTGTCTGGATACCAATGCCTCAGGATCCTGTGTCATCACAGGTATTCCTACTTCTCTATATGTGATTGTTAAGTTTTTTTCTATTCCTTTTTTTGATACCGAATGTGAAAAAGTCATTTAATATCCTCCTCTGAAGTTGTTCTAGATGATGAGCATGACAGGAATATGTCCACCCTGATAGTCTGTTAGCGCTGATATAGAGAGAGGCTGATATTGTTGAGTAGGTGCTGGAGACGGAAGTGTCAGTCTCTTTGACGTGAGGACTGGTGGCAGTATTGTCAGGTTGCCACTTAGTTCAACTTGGGAGGTGAGGAAAACCAATTATTCCTGTTATGACATTCTTTCAAGCTATTGTCGTTTTATTCGATGCTCCATTATGTCTTCTTGCATTCTGAGGTTTGTTCTTGTGAATTTATACTATTCAGTGGATGTTCTTCCTTTCCTACAGGTTTTGATTTGCTTCGATTAGTAGAGCTTTTGATTACTGTGGGATACGTACAGGCTTTGATTCACTTAGTAAAAGCTGTCTGACTGGGTTGCTTGGTGACAGGTCACATCAGTCTCATTCAGTTCATGCGAAACATTTTTCCAAGCGTCATGCACAGGCAATTGTACTTTCGTCTGGGATATGCGTATGATGCCTTTGAAGACGGGGCCCAGATGCGTGGCACAACCTCCTCCGCTAGCTCAGGAAAAATCTTTTCGAGCTCTTCATCATTTGAGTCATGGTGATCCCATGCCTACCTCTGAAAACGCATTTCAAGTGCCTGGGTACATCGAGTCCCAATATCCTAAGCATACATTTGCAATTGATATACCATGAATTGGAATTTGCAATTTTAACTTCAAATTGAATGTTTTGTTTTGTTTTTACCCCACCTAAAGTATTATCTTGTTTCAGTTACGTTGATATTGGAGATCAAGGTGTGAATGATGCACGGTGGTTCGAAAATGAAGCCATTCTTGTGACTGCAAGTGGCACTGGAAGGTGGGCTTTCTATCCTGTAAACGATGTTTTATTAGTATATCATGTCACAGATCTATCATATTGCTTTTGGAGCTTGTAATGGTGAGCACAGCTGTTAGCTAATTTGTTGAGTAGCCTAGCTTGTTCTCACAGGGTCGTCTTCAATGTGTGCAGTGTCGCGATGTGGAATCCATCATTGGGACAGCCATGTGTGCAACATATAGCAAGTCATTCCCGTTGCATTAATACGGTCAGTTTAAAGTTTTCTCTCTTTGTCATTTGGTCTTCACGTCCCTAGGGTAATTAAGGTGGCGATTTTCGAGAACCATGTGATAATTAATTTAACACAAAAATACCAAATGTGCCGGCATATCTTGTAAGCGATTCTTATTTAAATTTCTTGCTAAACTTCAGGTGGCTGTGTCACCCAAGGACCAATTCATATGCACCGGAGGCGATGATCAGAAAGTGGTAAGCTTCATTAATCTGGCTATAGATAAATTCCAGATTCGAATTAAATACTTGTATGAAAGTGTTGAGTCAAATTACCTACTTTCTGACTAAATACTTTTTGATTTAAAAAGCTTCTCTTGCTAGAGTGGTAAGAAGCAGCAGTCATTTTCATTTGTTCTATGTGTCTTTTTCTAGTGATCTTTGTCTGTCTATGGTGAAGTTCCTACAGTAAGCCAAATTCGAATTTTGCAGGTATTGTATCAAAATACTCGACAGAAGTCGTGTCCTCCATGGCGATTAACACATCCATTACGCGACGATGCATTTGTAGACTGATCTTTGTTGGAAGTCGCAAAGGACATCAATTTTCGGAGTTGACTTTGCTCTTGAGCTCTTCAAGCTCTTCCAAGTCGCAAGTTTTTCTATTTGAAGGGGAGGCGGACACCTCAGACGTTAAACCCACTTTTCAGCACGCCCCTGCACACCTACAGTTGGCCTTATTTGAGTTAGAAAAGATGCACAATCAAACTAAGAATGACTACTACATTCTGAAATGTTATATGCTGAGATTATTGTCGGACATGCCCATTTTGTTCAACTCTGGTGTGGTATTGCCTGTTCAGCGTTCATAGACAACCAGTCAATACTTTCTCTGCCCGTGCACCACATGTGGTTTGAATGTGATGAGTTGAGGAATTCACTTTTGAAGCAGAATCGAATCAGAGATGCCTTGAAGTAAGGCGTTGAATTGTATAGTACTCTTTTCAGATTTTTAGATTTGAAGACAAATCTGGGGAATCACTGGTAAAAGTTCTGTTTGTTTTGTTTGTTTGTGTTATGGAAGGAAGAAACTCAGGAACGAAATGGTCGTTGGCCATAAGATCGATGACTGGTTGAATTTGACTAATTACCAGAATGTAAATGATTTTCTGTGTGTGTGTGTGTGTTCGTATACAATTGTAGGAATCATTCAGGTTTCATGAAAAGTAGATGAAGTGAATTTCCTTCTAGAATGGAAGCTTGGTAGACTGACAGTAACGGCTGGGGAGTGAAAAAACTTCGCCGACGCACACCTGGCGCATCCAGAGATTTGTATACTCGAATGTAGGTTACAACTCGCTGAGTTGTAGACACAGACCTCGACGATCCTCATTCGTTCCACCTAAAGGTGACGGCGTATGTTTGGTAGAAAACAATAAATCACCGCATGAGCAAGGAATTTACTTAAGTGTCAAACGTGATCTCAGTTTTAGCAAGTTTCACGGGTGCAATACAATTGTCTTGTGGGCAGTGGTAAGTATTCCAGATTCCTATCTCCTTGTCTTCCGTGTAGGGGCCTTAACTCGTCCTCCTCAAAACGTGCAAATCTCTCCCACTCCACGCCGGTTCTTTTCTTCCTACATCGTGTCGCCAGGTTTTGTAAGAGCTGTTTGTTATGATCATCTAAGTCGAGGCGATGGCAGTAACAACCATGGGTTGAATCCGTTATCTGGTTGCGATGGCTGTGATGTCTTTGTACACAAGCAGGGGATTCCATCCTAGCTTAACTGATTGGAGAAACCATTCTAGATTTTGGGAAGGGCGAGTTGAGCATGTGGAGTTGGGATATGAGCTAAGTGGAAGGTGTTTTGGAGCATCGAGGTCAATAGCATGTACTCGATGGTGTCGGACTGTCGTTTCATGCGATAGCGGAAGAGCAAGTAGAGGTATCTCAGCTGGTGCTGGTCAAGCAGAGGTGGATTCCGGAGCTCATCCTGTGAAGTTTAGGTATGATGTGATGCTGAGTGAGGTGAGCACATGGGGCATTGGCGGTCCAGCGAGGATTTACGCGGAGGTTTCAACTCCCGACGAATTGGCTACTGTGCTCAGGTTTTCACAAATTTGGGATCGTCTGTCCGAGCACATTTTTCTTTCAGTGGATTTAATCTTCTTGTGGAATGTACGCATAATCTTGGATATATTTGTTCGTAATGGATGTGCCTGACGCTTGCAGGTATTGTACATGCCACAACGTGCGGTGGTTTGTGGTTGGCAAAGGATCAAACTGCTTATTCGACGACCGTGGATTCGATGGGTGCGTAATCCTCAACCGCATCAATTTTCTGGAGAAGCTTGGGACCGGTCGGTACCGAGTAGGAAGTGGCTACGCATTCAACACGCTAGGAGTCCAATGTTCCCGAGATGGGTTTTCTGGACTTGAATTTGCTGGTGGGATTCCGGGTACTGTAGGTGGAGCAATTTATATGAACGCGGGTGCAGATGGGCAGGTGTGAGTGAGTTTTTGTTTTCTTTTTGCTTTATGAAGTACGTTCTTTCTCTTATAACCATTTGGTGCGATGCTGATGAGCTTGGTTTTGACCTTCGAACCCTAAAAGCATAATCTCTTCTTTCAGTAATGCCTGTTGTACCTTCAACAGGAAACGGGAGATGTTGTGCAAAACGTGGAGATCCTGACGACGAGTGGAGTTTCACACTCACTTTCTCGAGATGCAGGTGAACTGAAATTCGATTATCGATTTTCCCCATTTCAAAAAATGTCCGACTTTTCTGTCATCGTCGCCGCCACTTTCGATTTGCAGCCGAATTCTGATGCAAAGCAGAGACAGCGGATATATTTGGAGAGGTGTGAGTTTCTGGAACCCTTTTATTCGCCATACAGTATGTTACCAGCTTTTGACTTCAGTTACTTTTCGAATGTTACTCTGGTTACAGAATTGATGCACATTAACGCTGGTTCTCATTTGTCTGTCTAAAATTCCTCTCTTGACAGTTGTTTGAGATTATTTCAATAATTTTCTATGCCCTGGTTGGTAATGTATCTTCTGTAGCACATTGTATAGTCACGTGTTTCGGTTAATTCTTAGTGATAATGGTTGCGCTGGAGTTGCAGGCGTAAGAGGACACAACCAGTGACGGAGAAGAGCGCAGGTTGCGTGTTCCGTAACCCAGGGGCAGGATGCCAGTCAGCTGGTGCTTTGATAGAGCAAGCTGGGCTCAAAGGAGTTGCAATTGGGGGAGCCAGGGTCTCTGAAAAGCACGCCAACTTTCTCATCAACGGGGGAGGTTCGAAATCACAGGATGTGCAGGCTCTTATTGCGTTGGTAAAGGAGGAAGTACACAAGAAGTTTGGGTTGTGGTTACAGGACGAAGTCTTGTATATCCCCTACAATCAGGAGCAGCAGTTGTAAAATCAATGAGAGCAAAAACAAAGTTGAACAGAATAGGTCATTAACCATCTTCTGAACTCATACAGGTAAACCAGGGCTTGGACTTCGCCTTGGAGATTCATGGTTTCTGTATTATGGTGGTTACGAGGTTTGTGCATCATTCCTTGTGATAAAATTTGTAACATGTGAAGGGCAAATATCAAATGATAATTATGATTCTACAAATTCACTAAAAAAAAGAAGAAAAGCCTCAACTTTGGGTTTCAATCGACTCTGTCCATCATAAAGGAATGCTCCTGATAACTCTTGTGGTCCATCCGTGTTAAGTTTCAACAATAGTGGCCTTTTCTTCATCAGGGATCATTCGAGTTCTGACCATGGTCATCTTTATTCATAATCTAGAAATATTGCACTGCTGCCAAGCAAAGTGGAATTAGATTGAACCACGCAACAACCTCCCACTCGGAGGATATTCCTTCGGGGTTTTGTGAGCATGTTCCGTAAACTCAGAAAATCATCTCGCCCTTGTTATGAGCAGCCAAAGCTTTCTGTAATCACCTCTTGCTGCCTACAAAATTGAGCTGCTCTCTTTCGAAGCCTGAAGGAATCTAAGCATCTCTGCACACAGAAAGAGTAGAAAGGGTAGAAAGAGTCGTAGGTTAAAAATGGTGAGGTCCACCCACTGCGACAGGATGCCGGAGGAATTGGACCCCCCTTCGTCCTAATGGAGCACACATGGAACTCATGCCCCACCTGGTGGTACACGGGGTGTAACTCTACGTAGTACGCAAGATCCCGACTAAGTAGCTACTATTTCACGTGTATTTAATTAAAAAACTCTTCATGTATCTGTATTACGCTTGTAGCATGTAAATCAATCAGTATGGTGCCGTATTCCAAAGACATCCGGATTCGGGTTGACTCCGAAGTTCAGCGCAACTTTACACAGCTATTCGGCAATAGAATACACTTTGAAAATTCGGCAGCAACTGAAATGATTCTCCTGCAAATCTAGACCCTTATAATTACTGGTCTGCAATCCGGAATGCGAGAATAAGTGAGTTCACAGTACAGAACTTGCCATATTCTGCGAGCTACCACCAGATGAGCTGCAAATTGACCCAAAGGAACGTAATGAGGAACGAGGATTGAGGTGAAGGTGTGCAGAGTCAGAGGAAGACAGACAGAGACCTAGCTGGAGGTAGCAAATTATGGCGATTGTGTCCGTCCATCAAGTACGTCGACTCACATGAGCGAAGAGTGTATCGGCCAGGGCTGCAAAGGCAGTGCCTAAACCTTCGTGTACTTGATCTGATTGTGAGTACGATGGGAGAGGTAGCGGAGGATTTGCAGGTTGTGATGCATGCAGTGCGTTGCTATTGTGTAATCTGAAACTGGTTCGCATCTCTGGATCGGCGTACACCTCCGCTTGTACTGCCGGGTTTGCTCGCCCCCGTCGACGATAATAATTTTTCTCTCCGTGCTCCAAGGACGAGTTTCCTTCGAGTTTTTGGAATAATTTTTATGTGCATCTATAGCCCCTCCTTCAGCTCTACTGCGTTCAATGTCGTCCGTGCGTGACTGCCATGTTTTTATGTGTTTATTTATTATTTAACGTCCCCTCGTTATGGTCGCTTGTGGTTCTCCAAGTCGGTGGTGGAAGAGTTGCTGATTCTCTGTAATGTTTTTTAATTCTCAGAAAACGACTTTCGCATTTAGGATCTTTGGGGAAAGTTTTTTGTGGGTTGGGAGTCGGATTGTTGCGAGTGAATGTAGGCAGTGTTTGAATTTTGGAAGGAGTGGGTTTATGGGGACGAGGATCTAGGAGGTAATTGAAGGGGAGGTTTAGGGTTTGGAGTGGGAAGGGCAAGGGTTGTAGAAGAGTTGGTATGAATTAGGCGAGGAAGTGCAGAGGATGGAGAATGGTATAGTTCCGGTGGCGATGAGAGGGGAGCATGACACCGGGCAGAGCATTGCATTCGAGATTGGCTCTAGAGGGCTGGAGGTCGATTTGAAGATTGAGCGAGGGGAGAGAGTGGCGATGGCGGAAAACGTTGCAATCGATGAGCGTCGAACCGTAGTCGAAGCTGCGCATGATCTCGTAGGAAGCAGTGGCCTCGATGCATTGAATCACAACCCCGGAGTTGAGCATAACCTGGAAGATTGCGAGAATGGTGACAGGAGAAGGGGCGATGGCGTATTGATGGTAGAGCATAAACATCATGAGATCGTTATGCGACGAGACATGCATGCAGGGACGGAACCTCGAGAGGCTGGAATTGTGGAGGAGGAACCGATGGGCATGGATGAAGACGCTCCGACTACTCCTACCGGGCTAGCCGGTGGAGAGGTGGACAGGAAAGACCGCATATATAAGAAAGGGCCTTGGAGCGTTTCCGAGATGCTGGTTTTGCAATCTGCTAAGAGGGAGGATGTGGTTAGAGCAGGAAAAGGTGCTCCAGGCATTAAGCACAGGACTGCTCAGGAGAAATGGCAATCCATTGAAGATTACTGCTGGTCGCATTTTGTGCAGCGAAGCGCACAGCAGTGCCAGGACAAGTGGGAGTCCATGAGCGCTGAGTTCAAAAAGGTGAAGGACTTTGAGTGCGGAATACTGCCAGGCCAGAAACCCTACTGGCACATGACCATCGACGAGCGCAAGTCCGTTCGAGTGCCGCCAAACTTCCAGAAGGAAGTTTATACTGCGCTGTGGGAGTGGTACGACAAGAATCGGGTCATTGAGCCGGGTACGCTCAGTCAACATGTCATGGCATTTCTAATATGTGAATGAATTTATTGAAGGATCCAGTCTAATTACTGACCGCAATTTTTTTATAAACATGTAATAGGCACAGGAATGGTTTTGACCAACATCTCCAAAATTGAAGAAATGAAAGTACACTCTCCAATTGCTGGAGGTTCGTCGTCACCATCTGGACCCGTGTCACAAAGTAGGAAAAGACTAGTAGAGCGTGCTGCAACTCGCGTTCCTCGAAAATTGTCTCGAGTTGAAGGCATTTCCGTACCAGGAAACTTGGATCCTCGGCTTATGACGCTAGGTGTGTACTTGTTGATTGGCAGCCAAGTTGACTCTGCATTTTTGCTAGATTTGGACACTTACGGAAGCTAGCAAATGCTGATTTAGAGGGCTTAATCCTTTCCCTTGAGGATTTTTTATGCAATCAAAACCGGGGCTAATGAGAATCGTTGTGTACACTTTTGGATGTGTGCTCCAAGACAGCCGAAAGAGAAGCCTACGCCATTTTCGAATTGGGAGATTTTGTGCTCAAAGAAGGTGCTACCTTAAGAGGGGCTAAATTAGCGTACAAAACATGGGGTACAATTAACGAGGATCGGAGCAATGCGATTGTGTACCCAACTTGGTTTTTAGGCAGGCATTGGGAGAACGACTGGCTCATTGGGCCTGGCATGGGGTTAGATCCATGCAAATATTTCATCATCATTCCCAACATGCTGGGCAATGGCCTATCTACTTCTCCAAGCAATTGCTCACCTCCTTACAACAAGGCCCGGTTCCCCAAGGTTGTCCATTCGCTGAGGCAAAATAATTTGTGACTTTTCCGAGGCCACATGATCTTTGACCTATTAGCTCGTTGAACTGATTATGATTCTTGTGCTATTTTTCATGATGCCAGTCATATTTAAATGTGATATTAATTCTTGTTTCTAACATTCTCTACAACAAATGTATAATCCAGGTCAGAGTGGAGGATAATGTTAGAGCTCAGTACAGGTTAGTGACTGAGCAGTTTGGAATCCGGAGGCTTAAGTTGGTACTTGGCTGGTCGATAGGGGCTGGCCAAGCATTTCAATGGGCTACTAGCTTTCCTGATATGGTTGAACGCATTCTTCCTTTCGGTGGTTCAGCACGCACAAGTCCACACAATTTTGTAAGTAGTAACAGCCAATTGTCAGTATTGTACGCTTGGATCACAGAGACTCCAAGATCAGTGAATCTCTGCGACGTTTGTGTAGGAAATTGGTAGGTTTTTTAATGCTAAATTATGTTCAGGTTACTCAAGTTTCGCAGTTAGCGAGAAGTAGCAATAAACCAGTAAGTAATTCTGCATCTCTGCGTGTTTTCCAACTAATTGCCTCCAATGATTCTGCAGATCCTTCTTGAAGGTATTAAGGGAGCTTTGACAGCTGACAGCGCATTTCAGGATGGCTGGTATGAAAAGCTACCATCGAAGGGGCTTCGTGCATCTGCGCGGGTTTATGCAGGCTGGGGTTTTTCGCAATCTTTTTACTGGAATGAGGTGTGGGTTCTGAACCGCTCGAGGCTCGTGTGAAATTTGATAGGTATAAAATGCGTAAACAGTCTCGAGTCGACCAGTAACGATAATCCCTTTATAAGATGTGGTATTTCAGTTTCATTTTGTTTTTTTTTTTAACTTAGAACTAGTATTGTTCCATAATTGGTGCTGGTTTTGGGTGTAGGTTTGGAGGGAGATAGGCTACTCAAGCCTGGAAGACTTCTTGGTAGGATTTTGGGAAGGTTTTATCTTGGACCGAAGAGATCCAAACAATCTGCTGACCATGTTGTGGACTTGGCAAAATGGTAATATCGGTCTCACGGAAGGATTTGATGGAAGCGTGGAGAAAGCTTTGGCCTCTATTCGAGCCAAGGCCATTGTTATGCCAGCTCAGCAGGATATTATTTTTCCCGTCTCTGATGAAGAATATGAGGTTAAGTTTATGCAGAATGCAGAACTTCGGGTCATACCTGGTGTATGGGGTCACTTTGCTGGTGCTGGTCTGAATGCAGTTGACACGAAGTTTATTGACAACGCAGTGCGAGATCTCTTGTCAATGTAATTTATCTACATTACTTTTTAGTGTTAAAATGACAACACCTCTCATGGTAGTTTTGCGTCATCTCTAGGTCTGATGTCCTTGTAGCAGGCTTCAGTGTAGGCCTGAAGGAGTGGGGGAGAACACTTGTAGGATAATTATCTTGGGTTGGAACCAGTCATATTTTTGAATTTATGGGTTGAATGGGCCGAAGGTGTACATTACTATTGAGTCTGCAGGTTTTCCTTGGGACTGCAGATTTCTTGGTACAGTTGTGTCAGCAAGTACGCAGTATCATTTTCTTTCAGGACGATGACTTGTGTACTTAGTAACCTCTAGATGGTCCGCACTTCCTTAAAAGCCTGTCGACTACTAAATATGTTGGTTTTGAGAAAATGCTTATTTCACATGTAGAACTCGGACTTTTCTATCCACGGTGGTAGTTGCCGTCGGCACCGGTTGGAGCATTTATGTAAGATGTCCACGCTTGGTTCCGTTTTCACGTTTTCCGTAGTCAACGATGCAGGTTAACTTAATATGAATATTTAGGATGACACATCTGCTGAGAAATATTAGTAATTCGTGTTTATATCGTTTAGTGTCTCACTTTACTATCAATTGATCTCTTGGCTCAGAATGGATTCAAAAGTATTGGATTGATGACAATTTTTTCTAAAACTTTATACTGTTACAAAGAAGGCGTGGTTAAAAGTCATTCAACTCTTGTGACAACACATTTTAAATAGGTTGTTATAGAATTCTAAACTGATTTTTAGAATCAAAAGTTTTATACTATCTATGTGTTATATTATCACTTTGTGAAATTTACAAGTTGCAAAATGAAAAGTAAAAAAATAGAACTCAGATTAGAACATCTTCTACTTGATAATAATATACTATAACAGTGAATTTTATTTGTGATGATATGTGTGACATTACAGGAATTACCTTGTGAATAATATTTATACATGAATTAATATGATATTACAAATTTTTATTAGAATGATGTCAAATATGGAATGATTATTATCCAATATAAGGATATAATAGATTTGTTGCTTATTGTCTCAAGATGGATGGCTTTAAGTGATATTATTTAAATTTCATGATGTCTCATTAATATTAAATCTTTTTTTAAGAACCATCATTGGATAAAATAAAGATGATTCTAGAATTTTTTATGTTTATGACATATTAGCAATCTTAAGAATATAAAGGATAACAACATATAATAAAAGTTTTGTTTAGAAAGCCAAGAAATAAAATAATTTACATAAATTGTAAAAAGAAATAAAAAGAAGTTGTTTGCTAAATCCAAATAATGCAAAAGCATCACAAAAGTACCAACTTTTAGCGTGAGCTTTTGTGATAACTATCCACTTGCCTCTAATGTGTTGATGCATTCTATTAAAATAAGTTCATCTGCTTAAAGTTGTCAACTTTGTTTGTACTTAGTGTTGAAGGAAAGAACTCTTTAAGTAGTTGCTAATGGTTAATAGAGTACAAGTGTTGTTAGGGATATCCCATAAGGTTAGGTACTGGTCTATAGTGCAATAGAGTATAAGGGGAGGACTGGTCCTAGGAGATATCCCATATGGGTTGTAGTACTTGGTACCTTGGTACTAGTATATAAGGAAAGGGTTGGCATGGAAAGAATTATCTCATACAACACTCTATTTGTTAAAGTGCAACCTTGCTGGTCCTAACTTACTTGTGTGGAATATGCTTTCTATGTTTCAATAGGTTATGGGTCGACATTCTCTTACCAAGTAAGTTGTTCTTGCATTATATTTTTGTTGCTTTTTTTTGGTGGTTGAGATCTTATGGTAGAGTGTTGCTAGTGATTTGTTGAAGTCATTGCTCTTGGATTTGTGAGTGTATGAGCTTAAAGCAAGACCTTAATAGTGTCTTTGCTGAAGGAGTACTAGTATTTGAGAGTTTTATGAGAAAGTGAGTCATTTTGAGTGAAGTGACGTGAGAGAGACGTTTGAAAGTCAAAAAATCACATTACAAACCATTCCCCACCATTTAGACGTAATTTGGACTCAAAATATGCAAAAAGTTGCAAAACAACGAATTCCGGGTTTGTAATTCAGTAATCTTTAAGTAGTCATATCTTTTGCATTACAACTCCAAATCAAGAGTTTTTTGGACCTACTTGTAGCTTGAGATGGCATCTTTTGAGGGTAATAGCTTAAGAGTTGTTGAAAATTTTAGAGGTGACAACTTTCATTACTGGAAGGCCAAAATGGAACTACTTTTGGCGTCATTGGATCTTTGGTAGATGAGGAGGAACTTGCACCTGGGGTAGAGGCAAGCATCAAGGAGCAGAAGGACTTCAAAAGACGAGAGAAGAAGGCTTTTGGCATAATTTCCACCAATTTAGATGAAAGCAACTTTGCTCATGTCATTTTTTGCAAAGGGGCAGCAGATGCATGGAAGACTCTTTGCAATGTCTATGAAAGTAGGAATCTCTCCAATGTACTATGGTCAAGGCAAAAATTCTTCACCGTGAAGATGGAAGAAGGTGAAGATCTCATGGCTCATGTGAATAAGGTAAAAGCACTTGCAAATCAACTTGCTGTTCTTGACAAGCCTTTACTTGAAGAAGATGTTGTGATGACATTGCTCTCAAGCCTTCCGGACTCCTATTCCTCCTTCATTGTGGCATTGGAGTCCATTTCAAGGAAAGACCTCACTTTGGACTATGTCACGACAAGACTAGCCCATGAAGTGACCAAAAGAAAGCAAAAGGAGTCTATTGGAGAGCAATCAGCACTATTTACAAGACCAAGTAAGGCAAGTGCCCCTTTTCAACGTTATCCTCCTAAAACTTGTTATATTTGTGGAAAATCAAGCCATTTTGCTAGAAATTATTTCAAGGCAAAGAGAGGAGAAAGAGAGAATCCAACAATGCTTTTTATGACTATGGAGGTGAAGACTTTGCATTCATGGCAAAACAGACTCCTTCCATGCTTGATATGAGCAAATGGATTGTGGATTTCGGATGTACCAAACACATGACTCCATAAAAGTGTTCATTTAACACTTATCAACCAATTCCAGCAACCAAGGTTTGGTTAGGTGATAATGGTATGGTACAAGCCATTGGAATGGGCACCATTGTAGTGGAGGTGGTGGTGAAGGGCATAAGCAAGAGAATCACTCTCAAGGATGTGTTGCATGTGCCAAAGATGAAGAAGAACCTCCTTTCGGTGAGTAAACTTGTAACTCATGGATGCAAAGTACAATTTAACATGAATGGATGTTTTGTGAAAACCATAGAAGGCAAAGAAGTAGCAAAAGGGACTAGGGATGGCAATCTCTATATTATCAATTGCAAGAGGATCAATGGAGTGGAGGTTGCTGCCTTTGCTGAATTTCCATCAAATGAAGACAAGGTAGACATTTGGCATCAAAGACTTAGGCATTTGAATGCCAAAAGCATGAAGGAGCTTCAATCCATGGTAAGAGGCTTAGACCTTGGCCATTCTACCATGAATCTTGCTTGTGAGGGATGCATTCAAGGCAAACAACATAGGACACCATTTTCTAGTGGAGTTGCAACAAGAGCAAATCAATTGCTGGAGCTTATGCATTCGGATGTTTGTGGACCCATGAAGAGACCATCTATGAGTGGAGCAAGGTACTTTGTCACATTTATTGATGACTTCTCAAGGAAGGTATGGATTTACATCATCAAGGCCAAGAGTGAGTGTTTTGCCAAGTTTAAGGAGTGGAAAGCACTTGTGGAAAAGCAATGTGAGCACAAGATTAAGGTGCTACGATCGGACAATGGAGGTGAGTATTTGTCCAAACACTTTGATGAGTTATTGAAGCATGAAGGTATTACAAGACAAACCTCCACTCCCTATACCCCACAACAAAATGGAGTTGCTGAAAGAGCAAATCGCACCATTGTAGAGATGGCAAGGAGTATGATTCATGCTCAAAAACTTGGGTATGAGTATTGGGTGGAAGTTGTGATAAATACCGTGTATACAAGAAATAGGTGTCCCACAAGTGCACTTGAAGGAATGACTCCCCAAGAAGCTTGGACTGGTAACAAACCTTGCATATCCCACATGAGGATTTTTGGGTGCATTGCATATGTCAAGGTTCCAGATAGTATGAGAGGCAAACTTGATGCAAAGGGCACAAGATGTGTATTCCTTGGTTATTGTGAAGGCACCAAGGTATATAGGCTCATGTGTTTAGATACCAAAAAGATCATCAAAAGTCGTGATGTAGAGTTCTTAGAGCATAAGAGTGGTAGTGAAAAGTGGGAGATGTGTCCAAGTAGGAATAGTGGTGTGTTTGTAGACACATCTTCAATTCCAGCAAACAAACAAGAAGATGAAGAAGAGCATTCTCAAAGTGAAGAAGGAGAGGAAGATGCCATGATAGAAGAGCCCAATAGTATGAGGACTTCAATTCCAACAAGATACAACAACGACAATCAAGAGAATGAAGATGAAGAATATCAACCAATGAATAAGAGAAAGAACTCCATGAGCCATACAAGGCAGCAAGAGGTGTATGAAGGCTCATCCTCTTTGAATGAAAGAAGATATCCAACACGTGAGAGAAGACCACAAGGTGAATGGTGGAAGAACCACATCTTTCCACAAGTAAGTGAAGACCATGCCAATGTTGCTCTTCTTGATGATCCATTGACTTTGTGTGATACAATGAGGTGTGGTGATGCAATGAAGTGGAAGATTGCCATGCAAGAAGAATACAAATCTCTTATGGACAATGAGACATGGGATTTGACTCCACTTCCACCAAATCGATCAGCAATTGGATGTAAGTGGGTGTTTAGAACCAAGAGAGATGCTATGGGCAATGTTGTGAGGTACAAGGCAAGATTGGTTGCGAAAGGCTACTCACAAGTTGCTGGAGTAGACTTTAATGAGATATTTGTACCTGTGGCGAAGTTCACCACCATTAAAATCATAGTAGCAATTGGAGCATCAATGGACCTTGAGATGCATCTAATGGACGTCAAGACAGCATTCTTGAATGGAGAATTGAAAGAAGACATCTACATGGAGCAACCTCAAGGATTTATTGAACAAGTCAAACACCACCTTGTTTGCAAGTTGAAGAAGTCATTGTATGGACTCAAGCAATCACCAAGAGCATGGTACCAACACATTGACTCATTCTTTGTGAAGGAAGGTTTTGTAAGGAGTGAAGCTCACTATTCTTTGTATGTATTGCAAGCCAAGGACTTCTTGCTGGTTGTGATCCTCTATGTAGATGATTTAATCATCTTAAGCAACACCATGGTAAGATTGGATTGGTTGAAGAAGAAATTGGAGAGAGAGTTTGAGATGAGTGATTTGGGAGAGCTCCATTATTGTTTGGTTGTGGAATTCACAAGAAGTAGAGAATCAAAGACCATCATATTGAGCCAAAGCAAGTACATTGAAGAAGTGTTGAAACGATTCAACATGGGAGA